TGACCCCGTGCCTTGCCTTCCTTTCAGCCCCGAAGCACAGGGCGTGATCAGCGGGGCCGTGTTCCTGATCATCCTCTTCTGCTTCATCCCCGTGCCCTTCCTGAGGTGCTTCGTGGAGGAGCAGTGCGCGGCCTTTCCTTACGACGAGGTGAGGCTTGCCCGGAGCTGGGAGCGTGGCGGGCACGAGCAGGGAGCGGTCACCGGTAATCAGGGTCCTGTTCTCTGTCCTGCAGTTTGTGGAGCTCATCGGTTCGCTCCTTGCCATCTGCTGCATGATTTTCCTAGGCTTTGCAGATGACGTCCTGAACCTGCGGTGGCGCCACAAGCTCCTTCTTCCTACTATGGCTTCTCTCCCACTGCTCATGGTTTACTTCACCAACTTTGGGAACACAACCATTGTGGTGCCTAAGCCCTTCCGGGTGCTGCTGGGCATGCACTTGGACCTCGGTAAGTTGCCAATCGCGAGGAGCCATCATCCAAGCGGCAAGCGATCGGTGGAAGGGGTCACCTGACGGCACTCTGTGCTGCAGAGGGAACACACGAAGCGTTCGCTCGAGTAGCCAGTGAGAGGGTGCAACTCCACCCGCTAAATATTAGGGTGGAAAGAACATCCAGAAACCCAGAGTGCGTTCAACCACGCATAGATAGGCACCCATCGTTTTTGGGGGATTCTGGCAATACAGTCAAGCGCCAGGCGCACACGGCACTCGGCTGCCGACACTGGAGTGACCGAAACACGGAAACGGAGCGCTACGGTCTGCCGCTGCATCACAGCGGTTTGCTGCGGTTGCCGTGTCGTACGTACGTGTACACGCGATAGCCAAGTCACAGGAGAGGGAGCGATTTATTAGTAAGCTACTGCTATCAAAAATCACCGAGATGGCTAAGTAACAGGTTGTTGCACAAAGCAGGACGCAAGAGCTTCGGGGAATTGGATCGTGGCCTGCTTCACCTACGAATACTAAAGCACTCGGCTCGCTCTGATCCGCAGGTATCCTCTACTACGTGTACATGGGCATGCTAGCAGTGTTCTGCACTAACGCCATCAACATTCTCGCTGGAATCAATGGAATTGAAGCAGGGCAGTCGCTGGTGATAGCTGCTTCCATTATCGTATTCAACATTGTAGAGTTAAACGGTAAGGAAGGTAACAACACGTTGGCGGGCGCAAAAAGCAAAGGGAGATGGAATCCTAGATTTCAATGTCTGGTATTATTAAAAATCAGCCAGTCCTGTCTTATCACAAAGGCTTTTTTTTTTTTTCTTCTCTCTATAGGGGATTATCGAGATGATCACATTTTTTCTCTCTACTTCATGATTCCCTTTTTTTTTACCACGCTGGGGCTGTTTTACCACAACTGGTAAGAGGATGGACATTCAGAGTTTCTTTGGAAGCGTCCTTTCCCCCTGCTTTCTCCCTTGTCAAACAAACAAAACCACTTACCGACGTGCAGGTGGGACACCGGAGCGTAGGCAGGCTTCTCTCCGGAACCGAGCGCGCAAAGCGTCCGTGCACCGGTAGCTTTGCTTTTTATTAGAACAATTCCGGTCACACCGGCTCAGCAAAATGCACAGAATACGCTCCCTCGTATGTCTCACTAGCCGTTTTTTCATACCGTATTCTCTGCCACTCAGGTTGTGGGTCCCAGTCCCCCAGTTCTTAGCATAAATACCTGCAGTTGTTGTTTTTTACTGTGTAGATCTGCTGCAGTTCCATCTCAGCCCCTAACCTGCCACGTGGGAAAGCCACATTCACGGCAACGGCAATCGTGACAGGCCTTTGCTTTTCTGCCTTGTGGATTGCAGGTACCCATCTCGAGTGTTTGTCGGGGACACCTTCTGCTACTTTGCTGGGATGACCTTCGCCGTGGTGGGGATCTTGGGGCACTTCAGCAAAACAATGCTGCTTTTTTTCATCCCGCAAGTGCTCAACTTCCTCTACTCGTTGCCTCAACTGTTCCACGTCATTCCTTGTCCCCGTCACCGGCTGCCGAGGTAATGTACCCAAGTGACCTATAATGGTACCCCAGATTGTGCCTTTTATCTCCAACACCAGCTGAGAGGGGTGGTGGTAGCTGCTCTTTTTAAAAGCCATCAAAGGAAGTTTAATAGTTAAAAGTTAGCTGGCTCGCTCTGCCAGCTACAGTCAAGTCATAGAGCAGAGGCTTCTCAAAGAAGTTAACTTCTCTGACCGTCCCACCCCCCCAGTACAGAAGAGTGATTTTTGACAATGTTAGAATATGATTATTCTCTGCTACAAGACTGAGAGGAATCGATACGGGCCGCTGTTAATGCTGTTGCCGTAGGATCTGCCGAGATTTCATAGTAGCAAGAATTCTGTGGCACTATGCCATATCGGCGATTGTCTCTGCAGATGTTAGATTCTTGTGTTTTATTTTTACAACTATACAGCTCTATGCATGCATTGGGGGTGCGGTGGGGAGGAATCGCCTCCTGACTCTGCCCAATCTGAGGGACTAAGTATAGGCAGCAGTCGTTAAGCGTATCAGATTGTTCCTGCTTTTTTCCAGCACCGGATTTCTTTCTCAGCTGTTCAGCTAGGTATCTAAGTCTGCTTACGTAGGGATCTCTCCATCTCCTTGCTCTATCCAGACTAAAATATTAATGTTTCTTTTAGGCTCAATCCTAGTACAGGGAAGTTGGAGATGAGCTACTCCAAATTCAAAACTAAGAGCCTCTCTGCCTTGGCAACAAACATTCTGAAGGTAATACCCGGAAAACATTCAAAATCCAGACGCGTTTTGAGGCGGCGATCAAACGCGAGAGGAACGGGATGGGAGGGAATGCAGAATTTCTGGGTTCGCCAGTTATTTCCTGGCTCAAAACCAGAAGAAAATATTCTGCTTAGTCCGTCGCCATCCCTCGCGGTCACTTGATTGTGTTAATAATCGATCTTTCAAAATAACCACATGTAGCAGTGTTCTAGGACTACCGTGAGCCTGTCCTGTCTTTTTAGTAAGAGCACGAGCCAGACTTCAGGCATGGTACAGCACAAGGGATCTTGAGCAAAACCAGATGGTGAGCACCAGCCATACCTGGTGAAATAGCACGCAATATTTCTTTCCCCAGGCAGTAAAGATCTTGCACATAGCAGATGTGAGGAGCGGAACGGATGAAGATGGCGAATATACCGAGTGCAATAATATGACACTTATTAACTTTGTTATAAAGCTGATTGGACCCACCTACGAGCGCAATCTCACTCTCCTGTTGCTACTCATTCAGGTCAGACAAACAGTTCCTCCAGTAGAAAGATGTACTCTGCAATAGAAACAGATCCAAATCGGTCTCAAGAGTTTCAAAGGGAAAGGGGGAAGTAAAGTATCGCACGCCTCACCCAAGATGCAGTTGAGCTGCGGAACTTAAGGAGAATCGGAGGTTTACACAGCTCAAGGAGGAAACGGATTCTTCCTCCTCCCCCCTCACCCCCCGTTCATTGAAAACTAATAAATACAAAGACCCTAGGTTAGCTTATGAGGAAGGCAGGAATCGTCGCGGGGCTAGAAAAACATTAGGAAAGCAGAGCGCCTTGTCACTCTGACCCGATACGGCTTTTTTCCACGTTCCCGTTTTTCAGTCATACCAAATAACAGTCCCGGAGTTATCTCTGGCTGGTGGGCTTCCGTAAGCGGGGCACACAGCTCAGTGGTATCTGGAATCCGAGCGGGGCGTGGGAACGTTTTGAATCAACTTAGAGCGCAAGGATAACGTGCCTCACAGATACTGCCGCTACCTTTATTCAGCCCCTGATCTCTCGTACATAATTCAGTAGAAACACTGCTTTTGGAAAGGCCTGCGTTGCTCAGGACTTCCAACAAACCAACCCGGAGACTGAACAGGGCTTAGGCAGACTACACTGGGGACGGGAGAGGATAGGAAGTACACACCGCTTGATCTCAAGCCCAATCACAGCAGACAAGTCTTGGCAGCACCTTCTTGTAAGGACGCGAAATCGCAGCTTTGACACGAGATATTTTCCACTACAAACCATAGGATTTATGTTATAATATAGGCCCCTTAAGAAGGAAAGAGTTGTTCCCAACCGTTCACCTAGTCCACTTGTTCTCACAGTGTGGCCGTGCACAGGCACATGCAGAAATCCCTCAGATAGCTGCGGTTCTCAGAAAGAACCGAGGGCTTTGGCTAGACTTCTGCCTTTCATCTTCCTGTACCTAAAAAATGTAGCCTAAATGTTGTTATTTAGTGAAACGAGGCACACTGGAAAGCGTAGCAAATCCATCCGGAAAGGGGGAATCCGCCAGCCTGTAAACTACTTAACACTATAACCTTTCCATTGTCTTGTCTGATTTTTACCTAGGTCCTGGGCAGCACGATTGCATTTTCAATCCGGTACCAACTAGTGCGCTTGTTTTACGATGTCTGACTGGGCTGTCGGGAGCAGGGGAAAGAGCTGTACCCGCCAGTCAGTTTTCTGCAATTGCTGACCAAACGATTCACAACTGATCTTACTCCGGCCCTCCGAGAACCTCAGGACACCTGTCCAAATGCAAGCAACCGCTCTGCGTGGGCCAGTCTTGAACTATAATCATCTCTTGCACAGAAGCCATTTGTCAGATTCTGCTGACAGAAAGGATTCACCGCTACTTGGACATCATTGTTACTGGGAATACTTTTCAGAGGGGAAGTAAACGACCCAATGTTTACTCACAGCACGTAGGGAAAAAAGATGAAATCTCTGTACATCTAACAAGCGCGTTACTGTTCCCAGAGACAGAAAACAGGAACTTCAGTTTCTGTGAGACTCTGTACAGCAGAACAAGTAAACAAGAATCCTCTCCTGGCTTCTCCCATCCTTTGGTCTTTGGTCCATGGATGTAGAGTGACACATTATAAACCATACCCAAAACTCGGAGCGCTCCGAGAATAAAATAACTCACGGTACCCTTTCCCCTTCAGTGCTTTGCCCGAGGATGTTGACATGCAGTGAAACTAGGTTACACAATACACCCCTGAGGCTTTCTACCCTGTCAGGGTGCTGATGATTGTTTCTGCAGTAGACTCCCTCCTCTTTCACAGCTACTAGGAACCTTCCCAGCAAAAGGCTTTTATTTCCAAAAAAAAAAAATTCCTGCCTTCCTTCGTGGCACGGGACGCATCTGGAACAGGCTAGCGGGGTAAGGATCGCTGCGTCCTTGCATAACAGAGGAAATCAGTAAAGACCTTAGAATAACGTGGAACTAAGACTCTGCAGACTGCAGTTACCTTTTTCTCAAATACAAATCATTAGTTATATAGCAGTATCTGGAACTATAACTCACCACAGAACTGCTGCCTATCTGACAGAAAAACACTTAACAGCCATTGGAGAACCGGGCGAAAGAGTCTGCATGAGGTTAATGGGCGTGAAAAGCCAAATAATGCAACAACAAAGACAGGGATGCCGAGATGGGCGACAGTAGAAGTTGCTGAGTCCAGTACCTTAACAGACGTGAGGCTGCTGCACCTCCACGCAGCCAAGTCTAGCCAGTAGCGAGGCAAAAACGCACATGTCCAGCAACGCTGATCAACACAGAAAACACGCAGCACTCAAGCATGAATGGTACAAGTGGCCGAATCCTCTTCCTGCTCTCCAGCCAGTCGGTTTAGAAGTCTGCTAGTAGAGTATATTCATGTAAACACGTACTTGTACACACATACAAACAACAGGAATCCCTTCAGCAGCTGGCCTTAAACACTCCGTCTGTCCAGTACCTAGCTGCTAGATTTCCTGGCAGCAGGGTATATGAACACCCGAGGTCCGCAGTACTAGTCTGCTTGCTTTTACTCAAATCTTCTCACCTAGAGAGGGAGAAAGAGAAAAATTAATCTCTCTGCTAGCTGATCCAGACATATGCCCTCCCACTAGCCAACTCTCAGACACCCACCGTTTTCTCCAGTAAGCTGGCTTAGACCTACCTCCAGTAAGCAACGTGCTGACCCCGTCCTCTCCCCTATCTGGTCCCGAATACCTGGCTCCAAAGCCCATCATCCCAGTCGCTCACTAGCCTGGCTCGTTCACTAGCACTAACACGCTCCGCATTCCGCTCTAGCCCCAGCCCAGCTCTGCACATGCTCCAGTCTTCCCATTTACTGGTACCGCATGCACGCCAGCCCCTTTCACCCGTGGCCTGATGCCAGTTGCTGGTGCTTAGACCTCCAGGCGTACTAGGCACACAGGGTAGACAGTCCCGTCACCCTGGGGAAAAAAAAAAAAATAAAATAAAAGCTAGAAATGGAATTTAGTGAGACAGGACAGACCAGAGAGATAAAGGCTACAGATCAGCAACGTGTTCGCACACGACCACCTTCTTCACCCTGCTTCTCCTTCCACGTTCCCACGTTTTTTTCCTCCGAGGCCACTTTGATGCCTTCCCCACCTTTGGCACTTCCCTTAAACTATCCATAATACATCTCGCACATTCTCACAGTCCCCTAAAAAGGATCTCACAGTAGGTTTTACACATCCCCAAATGCTCTCCCCCCCTATGCCACCATAAGCCAAATACCTCCACGGGCAGGGATCCCTCTCGGCCCGCAGGCATCCCGGGAGCCCCTCTGCCTCAGTCCGGCAGGGAGCCAGGCCA